TCTCTGACTTTATTCATTTAATTATTTATCATAGTGATGTTATTAAATATAAAAGAGAAATTTATAAACATAAATAAATAATAAACATAACTATTGAATGATTGATAAAACGTTTGTTAGTATATTTTGTTCATAGATCTTGTCCTTAATGCTTACTTCGATCACTCTTGTATAAATTATAAACATTCATTAGTATGCTTTTTTGTTCATAGATCTCGTCCTTAATGCTTACTTCAATCACTCCTATATAAACTATTGAATAATTGATAAACATTCGTTAGCATGTTTTTTTGTTCATAGTTCTTGTCCTTAATGCTTACTTCGATCACTCCTATACAAACTATTGAATAATTGATAAAACGTTTGTTAGTATATTTTGTTAATAGATCTTGTCCTTAATGCTTACTTCGATCACTCCTATACAAACTATTGAATAATTGATAAAATGTTTGTTAGTGTTTTGTTCATAGATCTTGTCCTTAATGCTTACTTCGATCACTCCTATACAAACTATTGGATAATTGATAAAATGTTTGTTAGTATATTTTGTTCATATATCTTGTCCTTAATGTTTACTTCGATTACTCCTATACATTGAATAATTGATAAAATGTTTGTTAAAATATTTTGATCATATATCTTGTCCTTAATGCTTACTTCGATTACTCATATACAAACAGGATCTTAATCTTTATTATCATCCTCAAAAAAGATGATCGTTGTCATCGTTTGCTATTTATTGCTGCTGATATTATTGTTTAATGTTGCTATAACAACTACTGATTGATGGATACTCATAATAATCATTAATGAAAATTTAATCAATATAAAACAATCACTAATAAAATACCTTTTAGTTTTTGATGAATCCCATCTACATACAATTCTTCATGACTATTAAAATTACTATAAAATAGTTTTTTGTGAATTTCTCTAAAACTTATTGACCAATACTCCCATAAAGTAATTAACATATGAAAGCTTAAAGTATTCTACACCTTTTCATTTACTATCAAGTCTTTTAAAGCGATATTGAGAAATAATCTGAGGTTTGAAGTGAAAAAAGTAATACCGCTTTTGAATAGCTGTGAATTCATGTAGAGAAGACCTTTCGATATGAAAGAGTATTCATTAGAAAGTTTTAATGGAGTACTTTCATTTTAGTCTAACAACAAAGTTCGAGTTTATTATAAAAATAACGAGATATTTTTAAAAAACTTCATGTGACACGAATTTCGAATTTATTTTCACATAGAAAAGCAAGCCTCAGGAAAATGTCACACGACTAATAGGAGATGACCACTTCTCTGTCAAATGTCATTATTGCACAGAAGCTTGGTCTAGAGGGATCCTGAACTTTTGAAAGGGCATCTAGCTTTACATTGTTCTGCAGTGCCAACTAATGTGAAACTTGAATACATGCAAATACTGATAAAACAATCTTCAAGTTCTAATAAAATACAGAAGATAAATTCATCTAATCCATCCATTACCAATTATTTTGATTCTTCTGCAGAAGTTGACGCAAGAGAGAGAATAAATCAAGCATTAGGTAAAAACAGTTATATTATGCAATTATATTATATAATATATGTTTGTCAATTAACGTACTTGTCTATTCAATTGTTTTTTTAGTTCAATTTTTTATATATTGCAGTATTTCTTTTTCAACTGTAAGCCATCTTTTCTTTGTGGATTTTACAAAAAGTTTGTGCTTTGGGTATAATCCTCCAAAAAAAACCACACTCTCAACTACCATTTTGAATAAAGAAATTTCATTAGTCTTAAATAAAATTAATGAGGAGCTTAAAAATGAAGTTAATTTAACATTAGGTATCAAATCTGATAAATTATTAAATATTTTATCAATTTAATTCATCTTTATGTCTTTATTTAATTTATATTTACTACTATAGCCATTGATGATGGTGTGATCCTTTAGGAAAATCAATTTATGCATTTGTTATAATTACTCCAAATAGAAAGCAATATATTCATTCTTTGGTAGATGAATCAGGTGAATTTCATACTGGGAATTACATTGCTGATGAAATCGAAAAAGTTTTAACTTCAATTGGTCCAGAAAAATTTGTGGTAGTGGTTTCAGATGGTGAAGCAGCTATGCAAATGGCAAGAAGATTAATCTCTCAACAATATCCTAATATTTTACCAATAAGCTGTTTAGCCCACCATATAAATTTAATTACAACTGATTTAGTAAAGTTAAAGTTTTCCAACACCATTTTGTCAAAGTGTAAAAAAATTATAAATTTTTTCAAAAAATCTTATCATGCAGGTGTAAAAGGAGGAGGATTAAAAACACCAGTGAAGACCAGACGGACCACAACATGGGATTGCTGTGATTCCATCATTAGGCTAGAAATTTGTCTAAAAAATGTAAGTTGATGTTTGATATTGCTTATGAAACCTATATACAAATATGTGTCATGTTCTGTTCATTGCCATGGAAACAGATTTCATCTAAATATTTATTTTTTATAATAACAATATTATTATTCAGGTTCTTGAAACACAACCTGAAATTTTTCATGATTCATCTGTTGTAAAAGCAATCTTCCCTGAGGCTGCTTTTCTATATGTGAAAATAAATTCGAAATTCGTGTCACATGAAGTTTTTTTAAAATATCTCATTATTTTTATAATAAGCTCGAACTTTGTTGTTAGACTAAAATGAAAGTACTCCATTAAAGCTTTCTAATGAATACTCTTTCATATCGAAAGGTCTTCTCTACATGAATTCACAGCTATTCAAAAGCGGTATTACTTTTTCACTTAAAACCTCAGATTATTTCTCAATATCACTTTAAAAGATTTGATAGTAAATGAAAAGGTGTATAATACTTTAAGCTTTCATATGGTAATTACTTTATGGGAGTATTGGTTAATAAGTTATAGTGAAATTCACAAAAAACTATTTATAGAAATTTTAATGGTCATAAAGAATTTATCACTTGTTTGGTTTCATAGTCATGCTCTGAACTGCTTTTATTTTTTTCAATCTATTTGCATCAAATGTTCATGAATGCCATAATATAGGAACCAATGCTGAAAAAAATTTTATTGCTTGACCCTGTAAAAAATGACACTCCAGAATATTCCATTATATCTCCATGATCATGTTTATCACTCTGTAAATGTTCAGTTTATTTCATAAAAGCAGCAACCAGTTGAGTAAACAATATGGAATTTTTTTTTCCATTATGTCATTTATATTAATATAGGGACATTTGTAAATCTGGGATTAAAACGGAATGTGAGAATAAGATTTTATAGTTCTGGAATATTATTAAGTAACTGATAAAGCCACAAATAAAAAACGGTCATTTTTATTATTAACTGATAAACTTGCAAATAAAAATGGGCACTTTTTTTTCTTACAAAGCATTTTATTTGTTTATAACATACTGTTACTGATTAAATTTGGGAGAGCGTGATAATAATTATTTTTGTTTTTGCAAGAATGAATAGAGGATCAACGAATTGATTTTGGTATTAGTGAATAATTTTTGGTTAAAGAAGATAAAAGTTATTTAAATAAAATATTACTATTTTATTTATTTAGTTTTATTTAGTCGAAACTAATTAACTTGTTATCAAGTTTTTCATAGTCGAAACTAATTAACTTATAACAAAGTTGTTTTTACATTAGGTCGAAATCAAGTTCTTTATATACATATTAGCCCGAATTGGGCGATTCCGCCCGGTTTGTACTTGGGAGATTCCGCCCGGTCTGGGCAATTGTCATTAATCTCTACTAAATAGAGTCAAATAAATATGAATATGCTATGGATTAATTAATAATAATAAAAATTAAATAGACGGGACGTAACACGAATTCAGATGATAATAATTATACACGTTATTAATAAATAAATAGAATTAATAAATAAAAATAATAAAAATAACAATAATGAAAATAAGAATAGATTAAATAATAATATAAATAAAAATAAAGATAGAAATAAAATTTAAATTGTCCCGGAATTAAGAGATTCGACCAAAAAATCTGCGTCAAAATCTAATTCCGGCAACAATACTAACTAATAAAAATTTTTTATAGGGGAAAGATAGATGAATATAAAAAAGTAATGTGTCTTTTTACTTGATTTTTTGTCAGCTAAAATCAGGGATTGGATGCTGGAATTCCCATTTAATATTATATTGCCTATGGCTTAGGATCTACATACCCCTCCCATAATAAAGTTTGCACAAAAAGAATAAGATTTACAATGTAATAAATTTTGTTACTTTAGTCAGTACAATTTTCAGTAAAAATATAACATGATCAGATAGTTTAATCAGTTTCCATTGGATCATTTAAAAAGTCCGAGATATCATATCCAAGCAAATCTTCTTCTTCACCTAACAATTGAACAGATTCTTCAGATCCGTCAGGATATATCAATTGAACAGATTCAAAGTTTTCAGTGCAGAGAACATATATATCATGCTTTTTATGTTGTTCTGGCTCTGAATAATCCATTCCACTATTATGAATATCAATAAGTGCCCACTTATCTGCATGTTTAAGAATAGGGACATATATACCACCTTCTTCAAACCCTTGTTGATGTTCTAACTGTCTATCTCCATCTCTTAATAGTTCAATTGCCCATTTTTCTTGTCATTTACATAAAAGTCTATGTAACCCTTTGATTCAAAGCATCTACAGAAGCATAAGTATCTTCAGGTAAAATCTGCATCGAGGCATGGTAAAATTCCATTTGCCAGACACATTCAAGAAGATGGCCATCTGTGCCTCTGCCTTTACTTTTTTGCAATATTTTTGGATTCATTTTTGTGAAAACTAATTTGATAAATTCATTGAATATACTAGGAGGTGGTTTAGATTGGCTTATTGCACCAAAACGGTTTTGATGGTATTTTACTCAGTGCAATGGTGCTGGAAAATCAAGCAGTGCAATATGTGATTTGTTTGAACTTGTATCAACAAGTGCATTGGTCTTAAGAAGTCGACCATCATTTGGAATTTTCTCTGCTTCATAATCAAGACCCCCTTTTTTGAAGAGTACAGCATCAACAATTCTTCTTTCTTCATATGAAAGATCAGAAGCTGGATAAAATGCATGGATAGTCTGGAAATGTATACCGTATATAAATTGTTTAGTAAATACAACTAGTTATTAGAACAATAAAAAAATATAATAATACATTACCTTGAGGAGATCATTAAAATCATGAGATTTTAGATAAGAAAAAAGTATATCAAAAGATAAAGAATTACTGTCTTTTTTGGTAAATCTTTCACCAATGTGATCCATAGTGTAAACAATTAGACCTGGATGGTAAACTGTTATTTTGGACAAATAGTTAAAAAGATATGGAATGTCATCTTTTACCAATTTTTCTTTAAGATGTTCTTCACAAAATCGATCAAAATAAACTCTAAATTCTTCTTTGGTATAGCAAATATCTTTATATCCCCATTTTGTTTTTTGTAGTAAGTTTATTAAGTGGTGAAATGTCCATGTCTGAACGTTTTTCACGAGTAGCATAAGCACCATAGTGACCATATGGGGCCAATGCTACAATGGAAAGCTGCAAGTTTTGCATTATGCGCTTAAATGCATTCCAAAATGCACTTCCACAATGACAAGGTTCTCCTATATATTTTTTGCACTTCATCGATAATCAAATATGTTTTTTTATCACCACATTGCTGGAGAAACTCATTCCATGTTATATTCATAAGCATTTGAAATCCATCTGCAAATGTCCATGAGAATCAATCAAGTTTTCCATCCATATCATTGAAATGCGAAAAACACAAGCTGATCCATTCTGCAATTCATCTAATTGGAGCAACTTGGCCTCAAGTAGTTGTCCAAGGGATGTTTTTCCTGTCATTGGTGGTGATCTAAATAGAATAATGTGTTCTTTAAACATACATTCAAGCAGTCTGTTAATAGTTGGTTCTCTCTGACATACAGTAGCACTAGTAAGATCAACACCTTCATAAAAAAAACCACCTTCCAGTCCTTTGTAAGTTGTTCCTCCAAGACCTCCTATTCAGTACAAAATAGTGAATAACAATGAATCAAATGCACATTACCACAAAAGTTAAAGACAACAACTTTATACCTAGTCTTGATATTCCCTTATTTTTAAGCATGTCTGTCAAAAATCAAAACAGGTTAATCAAACATTGCAAATAGTATTTACTAAACATTCCTGTAAACTGATGTGGACAACAGACAACTGAACGAATGCTCTACTCTATGACTCAGTGATTGTTGTAACAGCATCATATCTTGATAACATGTCTTTTGTTCACCATTAAAATAAGTTATGTATAACCTAGCTTTGTTACTCCCAACTGATAACTTTCCAACTATCCTCCCAATAAACATGTGTTGATTGCTTGCTTACCTTGTTCATGAAACAATATGGTAGAAAAAAGGCAATTTAAAAAAAATTATTGAAGAAAAAAAAAATAATACTAATTGATAGTGGAAAAAAAAAGTCAACCGATAAATAAATAAACGAAATGGAATTAGTGTTTGTACTCATGAGTGCAAACACTAAATGGAATGAACGAAAAATAATTTATGTATTTTTTTTTTTTTTACACAATTTGTTCATTCATTACCTTTTCCCTCAAATTTTCGCATCTTCCTTCTACATTCTAACACCTCCTCCCTCCGAACATCTTTTTCCCTTTCTGCTTTCCTTTTTCACTTTCTAAATCCTCTAGCTTCTTCTTCACCTCTCCATATTCTTCTTCAGCCTTTTCTAACTGTTCTCCAACTTCTTCAAACGTTGCCATTTTTATTAATTTTTAAAAAAATATTTTAGATCGTACGCAATTGTTACAATTGTTTCTATAAATAATTTGGGCCAATGACAAAGAGAAAATTAATTCATATGTTGAAATACTCGCATAGGAGGAAAATACTTGGACCCAAACCATGTAAAAAATGGCACTCCAGAATATTTTCCGTGATCATGTTTATCACTCCGTAAATCTTCAGTTTATTTCATAAAAACAGCACAATTAAGTAAGCAATCCGGATTTTTTCCATGATGTCATTTATAATAGTAAAACGGGGAATTATTCACCGGCTATCCGGTTAATCGGATGCTGAAAATTTTTCATTGATTAATTAATCGGGTGTTGAAAATTTTCACTGGATAATTGGTGAATAATTTTTTATCCACGTAATTGAAAGAATCATATACGCTGATTTTTTTTGAACCCCAAAATCCAGTACGGTATTATCATAACGTTATGAATACTTTATACTAGCAAAACCCATTGGTTTTGAGGTGGGGCCATTGGTTTGACGGGTTGATGAATGGTAAATTAGTTTTTTAAGCGGAGCAGATAATTTTTTTTAGGGTAATTATCATTCTACCTACCAGTTTACACATTAAAAATACTCATGTTTAACATCAAGACACAATAAGACATAAGGTTTGAAAAAAGGCCCAGAAAACCAAATCGACTGATATGTAAAGGATTATTCCTTACAAATAAATATTACAAAATGTAAAGAACTTCCGTACATAAATTTTCTATAGGGTGATGTTGCTAAACACAACATGATTTTGAACCTGGATCAGTACCTGAAGTGATTTCTGAAACTAGTGGTAATGATAGTTAATGTTAACTAATTAATCAACTTAATTTATTAATTATTTTTTTGCTAATAATATTGCTTAATTACACTGACAAAGGAAGTGACGTAGAAAAGATGGAAACGGTCGATGAAATTAATTAAACTATTTTAAGGATGTTGTTAAATTCAAATTCATGTCAGTTTTAAAAATTCAAAATTAACACAAATTGAATTTGACAAAGAATAAATAAAACAAAATAAAAAATAATAATAAAATAAACAAGCAAAGTTTTGATTGAATTTCCTTTGTTTTTAGCAATCGTCCGGACACTTTTAAATATATAAATATATAAATACAATAATCATTTTTACAATAATTACAATTAATTAATAGATTAGACTTACGTAAAAACTAGGGTCAGGATAACAATAATGATGACAATCTATTTGATCAAAAGTCCAATGAAAAACATTGCCATGAAGATGAAAACATGCAGTGTCACTGGCTTCGATGTATCGATTATTACCCCCGATGTGACCCTGAACTATCATGTGAGTACAATATGTCGTGCCGTCTGGTAAATCATGACTCGATACTCTACAAAATCCATAGTCAGTGGAGCAATCTTTCATTCCATCGTCCACTAAAACATGACCATTACAATCAGTTATATAACTATGGCATCTCGTTCCCGCTTCAATGGTAGAAGTTACATTCGTATGGAGTGCTATACATTATTTACATCAAAGCAAACCGGTAAAGTCATTAGCATAGATAATTATAAAATCTTTGCTACCCATGTTCGAAATTTTACCTTCAGCTATGTTAGCTACTATGCAAAAAATTATGGAGATGGTAAGGATGTAGGAGATACTATATTTCATTGTGAGTGTTATTGGCCAGAATTAGACAAAATATCGTTTTCTCGGTATGAAATACGAAAGGGTATGTTTTTCAGACTGATTAATTCCTCAAGGCATGCGTATTTATAAGGAATTTACTTTATGCATGATTAATATTCATTTAGAGGGGTTTACTCAATAAATCTCATAAATGCAATCGCTACTTGGTCTATACTCAGCCAAAGCCGAAGGGAATTTGAAATTCAAACTGATTAAGATTAATTTTTCTTACGGACTGTCAGATATTTGCGCGTGATATGTAACTTTTTTAACTGTTAAAAAAATTAATATTAATAATTTACACATGTTACGAAATGTGAAATTTATTTAATTTTATTTATTGATAGAGTTCTACCATATTATCATGACTAATGATGTATGAAGTTTCTTGATTTACACAACGGCTTACTTTAACAGTAACATGACTTTTTACATGATTTTGTCCAGTAAAATAAATAAAATAAAGTGACAAATGAGGACTAGTTGACAATGATACCTGATCTACAGGGGGTGAAGTGTCATTCACGCTAATACTAATAAAATTTTTTTTAAAGAAATCACGCTTTCATACACAAACTTGCTTGATTTAATCAAATCGTTATTAGAATCATAAAAAAATAACAAATATATGAAAAACCTTATTTTGATGTATTTTTTGCCAGGGTAAACAAATACCACTAAGCGATAATCTTAAGATGAAGTTGGACTACCAGTTCTATAAATTCTATAATAATAATAAATTAAGAAATTGGTGACATGCACAATTTCAATCCTTGGGCTTAATAATAATAATAATAGTAATAAATGCAATAGTTAAGTTCCAATTTCCAACCTTTAAATGATAATTTGTTTATAAAAAAGTATTTTCATAATAATAATAAACATTTTATTAATATATTAATAATATACATTGCTAGATGAAATAGAAGATTGTATCAGACAAAATTTATTGATATTAATATTTATTTAATAATTTAAACAAAAACAAATTCGCGTAACAGACTTTTTTCAAGAATGGCTATTAATAAAATGGAAATAATGTCAGTTAATTTGGTTTTTTTAATGTTTTTAAAGATTAGCTTCATACTATTACTAATTTTTTTTTCATGCATTTTCTATTATTTTTTATATATATTTAGAAGTGTAATGATTAAATTAAAAGGTATTTATTTATTAATGCATTAGCAGGCTCTGATGAAGATGTTATTAATATGTAACATATATAGGTTAAAGGAAAAGAAAATTTTATTATTGATGGTTTTATTTATACATTTATATATTAATATAACATATATGTAAAATTTTAAGTTAAAATCATATCAATTGACCAGAAGATGACAATTATTTCAAGATTACAAGCACTAATGTTACTGCTATTATTAAAATATTTATTTCTTTTTCCAAAGGTTGCAAAGGTTGAACGATCTGACGATCTGACAGTGTACAATCCGTTACGCAATCATATTTTATTTATTATTAATTATTTATTTTTAGAAAATATAAATTATTTGTAAAATTCAACATCAAAATACCATGTAATTTTAAAATTCTAAATAAATTGATAACCTTATAAATAACTATAAATCAGTCCCTTATAATTATAAGCAAAATTTTTCTAACACAACCTTCCAAGTGGTTATAAGCGACTTTGTAGGGAACACTTTGGCACAACTGCTGTTGCTGAATTTGCTTTAGTCTGCATTATACTTGTCGTCAGAATTCCATAATTACGGCAAATTCGGCATTACGTATAAGCCGTAAATGATTTTCGGCATGAGACCTCAAAGTCATAAAAGTCGTAAACCGTAAAACCGTAATGCTGTAAATGCCGTAATAGTAAATTCCGTAATAGTAAATTCCGAAATTCCGTAATAGTAATAGTAAATTCCGTAAATTCCGTAAATGCCGTAAATGCCGTAAATGCCGTAAATGCCGTAAATGCCGTAAATCCTGTAAATCCTGTAAATCCTAATACCATAGTAATACTGTAACACCTAATAACAACATAGAAAAATTTTCCATGAACCTTTAATAATATTAAACGTCTTTTTTATTAATTCAATTAAACATAACATGAACATACTAATGTAGGTTTTAAACAACAGTGAGTGAGTGATAATAAATATTTATAGAAATAGTTATATTATAGAAGTGATAAGTTTCTTAACAAAATATTTTTCAATTATTAAAAGGAAAAAATGAGTTCTATGAGTTCCGTCAGGTCGGGCATGTCAAGTAATCATCAAAGCAATGGTCAAAAAAAAATAAAGAGGTCGTAAAGAATCAATTGTTTGGGAGCATTTTTTTAAAGAAACAATAGCAGTCACAGGACATTTCCCGCCGATCTATAAGAGGTTGTAAAAACATATATAGTAAAATTTGGATGATCTACATCATAGTAAAATTCGAATTTACATAGTAAAATTTATAATCGAATGTCTTCTCACCCTCGTTTGATACCCTTGCTGTCTAGAAACTACCACTAAATTTGAGATATAATTTCTTTATCATATGTATCTGCTTTAAGAAAATTTTTAAGGCAGGTTGTTAATAAAACCGAAAATAATCTGACCCTCAAAGTCAAATTTTGCCTTTATATTCATATGCGTAAAATTTTGTTTGACGCGTCCAATTGCAAGTATAAGCAGAAATAAATGTCCAAATATTACATTATTATGAATATTTACAGTTTTTTGATCACTTAAGTATGTCTTTTATAGTAAAATCATTTATTTTAAAAGTAAATATAATAAATAAATAGATATTAAAATTTTTCTTTACTTATATACATAAATAATGATTAGAATAACAAACAAGCAACAATGACGATTAAATTAAAAGGTGTTTTATCTCTGACTTTATTCGTTTAATTATTTATCATAGTGATGTTATTAAATATAAGTTAAAATAAAAGAGAAATTTATATACATAAAATAAATAATAAACAAGCAACAATAATGATTAAATTAAAAGGTGTTTTATCTCTGACTTTATTCATTTAATTATTTATCAGTGATGTTTAAATATAAGTTAAAATAAAAGAGAATTATATACATAAATAAATAATAAACATAACTATTGAATGATTGATAAAACGTTCATTTTTACTTCAATCACTCCTATACAACTATTGAATAATTGATAAAATGTTTGTTCTTGTCCTTAACGCTTACTTCAATCACTCTATACAAACTATTGAATAATTGATAAAACGTTTATTAGTATGTTTTGTTCATAGATCTTGTCCTTAATGCTTACTTCAATCACTCCTATACAAACTATTGAATAATTGATAAAACATTTGTTCTTGTCCTTAACGCTTACTTCGATCACTCCTATACAAACTGAATCTTAATCTTTATTATAATCCTCAAAAAAAGATGACTCGTTATTGTCGTTTGCATATTATTGTTTAAATGTTGCTATAACAACTACTGATTGATGGATATTCATAATAGTCATTAATGAAACTTTAATCAATATAAAGTCAGAAATATAAAACATTCACTAATAAAATACCTTTTAATTTTTGCTGAATCCCATCTACATAAAATTCTTCATGACTATTAAAAATTTTTATAAAATAGTTTTTCGTGAGCCTCTCTAAAACTTATTAACCAATACCCCCATAAAGTAATGACCATATGAAAGCTTAAAGTAATCTACACCTTCTCATTTGCTATCAAGTCTTTTAAAGCGATATTGAGAAATAATCTGAGCTTTGAAGTGAAAAAGTAATACCGTTTTTGAATAGCCGTGAATTCATGTAGAGAAGATCTTTTGATATGAAAAAGTATTCATTAGAAAGCTTTAATGGAGTACTTTCATTTTACTCTAACAATGAAGTTCGAGTTTATTATAAAAATAACAAATTTTGAATTTATTTTCACATATAGAAAATCAACATGTCCTGTGACTACTATTACAATGTGTTTCGGATCAATCGGTTTTATATTGGGCCATTACACAAGTGCTATATGGCAACAATGTTTCTACTAATAATTTACATCAATATCAGCATATCATCAAATTATTTATTATTATCCTTTCTCTAATACTGACCGATCCATATTATCATCATCAACAAAACCGAATTGTTTATCCAGAGGTTGTTGTATCATCATCATTATTTATATTAATTATACACAAAAATCAATATAGAGGCTTTTTATTATGTAAATCAGTATCAAAAAAAGAGTTTTTGAACCTGCATGAGATCGGGTGTCACACAACTCGTCTTGATTTTTGGAAAGTTTAAATTCCTACCAACCATTTTACTTTTGTTATAGAAATTTCAATAGCTGTTTCTGGGAAGCTTTGTTTGTGAACTGAATTTTTTGGAGATAAAATGATGAAACAATAAAACCATTTTCATTCAAAAAAAGTTGTATAGGAATTTTTTATGTATGTTTATTATTTATTAGTAATGAATTTAAAGAGGAAATAAACAATCCTTAATTTCATGTAAAATATCTATACGTACATGAACAAGCAAAGTAATTTTTCTTATGCATGTAAGTTTTTTACTTTATATTGTTCATTGATTTTCTATATATTCGGTGTGTTTTTATTGACCGATTTCAATGACAAAAAATTAACAGGTTTGTTTAAATGAGAAACATCCATGGTAGGCAAAGTAAACATTTATTTGGAAATCTCATTTTCTTTTATTTGTGCCATCAATGGTTTTTAATCATAATGAAGGTTAGGTTTTCACCTGTCATGGGACATTAGATTGCTAAAAATTGGGAGATTTGTTTTAAGAGCTTCTATCATTAATCATAAAACGTCCATGACGAGCAAAGAAAATATTTATTCAGAAATCTATAAATATTTTGCATGATAACACTTTTAGTTTTCAACTAGTAGTGATATTTTAGGTTGTTCAAAGCGACCAAAAATTTATAGATTTGCCTTAGGAGCATTGATCATGAATCAAAAAAATCTGTAATGGGTAGCATTACATGAGGGAAGGTTAATTAAATGTATCATGAGCAAATGCTAATTATTTTAACATAGTAATACTTTTTCTTTATTCACATCATAATAATATTTCTATCATAAGTAATTTTTACAAACAACAATGATCAATAAGTTCAGGAACTTTAAATAAATGTGAAATTTATTCATATTAGTATTGGTTTGTTGAAAATTTATTCAACTTCAAATTTAAAAAATATTAATAAAAAATACAAGGTGTTTTATTGAAAATTTTACTCAACTTGTGGAAAATAATTTTTCCTTAATAAAATAAATACCAATGAAAAAAAAAAAGAGGCGGGATAAATAAAAACATAAAAGATAATAAAAAATAATTAATAAATAGTATCTACCCATCAACAATTCACCCAATTCACCAACTTTAACCTTATCAACTACTTACTATCTATTATATCATTAATAAATAATCATATTTAAATTAATAGATTTCAATTAACTACTAATTATTTATTAAATCATATTTCATAATTTAATAAGCTATCATTACTTAAATTCAATTTAGCAAATTCATCATTTAGTATTCTACTTGTATGATATGCTAATGGATGTGGTTTGTGAATTTGTTGTGAATTACTATTACTAATACTACTAATATCATTATTATTATTGATAATTTCTTTTAGTTGACCATCAGCAAAAATCCAAAGCTCTCCAATAGTTGGTCTCTTGGATGGATCCACATCCCAACACCTTTGCATCATTTGTACATAATCATCAGGCATTCCTGGTAATATTGGTGGACGTAAACCTTTACATATTCTTAATTGCAAATGAAAATCATGTGCTTCATCATCAAATGGTGGATGACCTGCAAATATTTCCCACATTAACATCCCAACACTATAAACATCAGTTTCTTTTGTGTGATTTTTTCCTCTGAATAGTTCTGGTGCAATATAAGATATAATCCCATAAAGTTTATTTGATAGTTTTTCATCAACTGGTCCACATAATCCAAAATCTGTGATAAAACAAGCACCTCCTTGCAATAATATATTACCACTATGTAAATCACAATGAATTAAATTTTTTTCATGTATAAAATATAATGATTCACATAAATATCTAAAAATATCAATTCTATCCTTTGATGTTAAATTATAGTGATTTTTTCGTATATAACTTCTTAAATTTCCCTCTTGCAGGTAATCAAGAACTATTGCATAATTTCCATTTTCTGGGAATTTAGTTATACCATAACAAGGAATAATTAAGTTTGATCTAATTTTACAATAATTCAATGCCTGAAATTAATTATATAATAAATAAATCAATTAATTTAAAATAAAATAAATGGTTAATTTAAATAAGAACAATTACCTCATCAAAAAAAGGTTTTCCTGGATTATTTGAATTATTTAATGATTTTAATACAACACCCTGACCTCCAAAATAACTAAACTCCTTTTTATTTTCATCATAATCAGCAATTCTTCCTTTTGTCCACCCAGCAGTATAAATAGAACTGAACCCACCTTCTGTCAACTTTTCTACTTCATAAAATTGCTCATAAGGTACCCATTCTATAATATGTTTTGGAAGAGACGAAAGCTGCTGACACTTTTGAATAAAACCATCAATTATCTTATTTCCAGATGTCCAAGTGCTGAAAAGGCTCTGTAAGTGTAGTCTAATACACTTTTCACAATATTTATCAGAGTATCTTGTTGTTTTACAATTATTGCATCCTCTTGGTTCACCATATTTATAAATTGCATTATTTAATTCAAACCAATAAATAAAGTTTTCTCTGCAAAACTCCTTTTCATTTTCTAATAGTTTTTGGTTTTCATTGACTAATTGTAAAAAATAACTTTTTTTATTTTCAAGGTCAGAAACAGTTGGAAAAGCAGAATAAGCAATACCTTCCATTTCATTATAAATTTTAATTACGGTGCAGATCATCTATAATCATTAATTGCTTATAGTAACAATTGGTCAACTTCAAAATACTAAAACAAAAAA